TCCTTGGGACTCGTTGTGAAGGGGGTCCTCGCAACCGTGACGCCGCTAATGGTCTCAGAATGCTCAGGAATGGAGTGGACCCCAGCTCGAAGACGAGCTTTGGGAGGTCTGTTCCGCTCAGATGGCAGGCTCAAACAGGTTGGTCGTCCGCACCTGTCTGAGCCCCATCTTCCAACACTTGTCTTTCTGCACTGTGTTTTTGGGCTGCCTTATCGCTCAGCGGTAACGGACAGCTAATGAGCCAATAGGAGCCAATAGGAGGAGGGGGGGGAGGAGAGGAGGAGGAGGAGGAGGAGGAGGAGGAGGAGGATGAGGAGAGGAGGAGGAGGGAGGAGGAGGAAAGGAGGAGGAGGGAGGAGAAGAGGAGGAGAAGAGGAGGAGGAGGGGGGGAGAGAAGAATAAGCAGGAGGAGGAGGAGGTGGAGAAGGAGGAGGAGGAGGAGGAGGAGGAGGAGGAGGAGGAGGAGGAGGGGGAGAAGAATAAGCAGGAGGAGGAGGAAGAGGAGGAGGAGGAGGAGGAGGAGGAGGAAGAGGAGGAGGAGGGTCGCGCCCGAACCGCTGCGGAGCCAGATCGGGATCGGACCCTTCGCCTCGCGGATCGGGCTCAGCCCCTGCGAGAGGGAACGTGCTCGTGCCGGATGGGACCGACAGCGAAGCCGAAGCTTGGGGACCGAATCGGGTCGAATCGGAGCGTGACCCAGACAGGATCGCGTCGCAAAAAAATCAGGACGGCAAGTGTTTCCGTATTTTCGGCCCCTGGGGGCCCTCGCCGGGCCCCGGGACCGTCTAAAAACGACTCAGGATGAAAAACCGGCCCCGGGGAAAGGGTCTGGACTTCTGGGGACGCCGTCCTGAAAAAATCATGACGTCGCTTGTCTGGGGAGCAGTCCTGTCCGCCGCTTCGGGCCTCCAAGAGGCCTCCAAGATGGCCTCCAAGAGGCCTCCTGTCGCCCAAGAGGCCTCCAAGATGGCCCCAGAACGGCCCAAGAGGGCCCCAAGACGGCCCCCAAGACGGCACAGGAGGCCTTTAAGACGCCCAAGATGGCCGCCAAGACGGCCCTGGAGCATTCCAAGCGGGCCCCAAGTCGGCCCATAGAGGCCCCCCAAACGGCTTCCGACGGCGTCAGACGGACCAGGAGCCCACCAAGACGGCCGAACATGGCCCTAAGATGGCCCAAGACGGCCCAAGAGGCCTCCAAGAGGGCCTCCAGGAAGGCCTGAAAAGGCCAAAATCATTGATTTGCCATGGGTTCTTGAGGGATTGTGACATTTGCTTTATTTCTGCCTTCCGACGGCCCGAGACGGCCCAAGTGCCCACAAAGATCGCCCAAGAGGCCCAAGACACGGCCCCAAGAGGCCCCCAAGACGGCCCAAGAGGTCTCCAAGACGCTCAAGATAGCCTCCAAGACGGCCCAAGAGCCCTCCAAGACGTCCTCCAAGAAGGCCCGCAAGAGTCAGAATGGCCTCCAGACGGCCAGGATGACCTTCAAGATGCCCACGTGTTCCCCGAAGGCTTTCCAAACCGATTCGGGGAACACGTGGTCCGATAGCTTGGCAGGCCTCTGGCCACAACCTTCGGCCACATGGGCGCTTCCACAAAGGCAGGGGGCGGCGGTGATTCGCCGTAGGCGTCGTCGATCCGCCCGGCGAGCTCGACGTTCTGAAAGGTTTACTTCAGAACTCCCCCGCTTGCGCCTTCTAAGAAGCAGGGCGCTTCTAAGAAGCTTTCCCCCCTCCCCCTACTCCCTTGTGCGCGCCGCCAACTCCTCCTCCTCCTCCTCCTCCTCCTCCTCCTCCTCCTCCTCCTCCTCCTCCTCCTCTGGCGCTTGCTGAACCTCTTCGAGGACGTTGGTTCTTTTTGAAACCACCCCCTGGTGCCTCGGCCCGGCGCGCCGGCCACCCAGAAGGCTGCCTCGCGAGGCCCGGGTGGCTGCCTGTCTCGCTCCTGCACGGCCTTCAGGTGGACCCCGATGTGGCCGTGAGACGGCCCAGAGGGCCAAACATTGTCTCCAAGAATCGGAGGGCACCAACTATACACCAACACCGATCCTGGCCCAGGATCACCCTGGGCCCAGGATCGGTGTATATGCCTTCTTGCGCAAGGCAGGAGGGCGTAGACACCGATCCTGGGCCCAGGGTGATCCTGGCCAGGATCGGTGTTGGTGTATAGTTGGTGCCTTCCGAAAGAAGGCCCAAGAGTCCAAGATGCACTCAAGTCCGCCCAAGAAGCCGCCAAGGCGGCCTACGATGGGCTCAAGGTGACCCAAGCAGGCCCCCAAGAGGCCTCCAAGAGGGCTTCCAGAAAGGCCCGAAGAGGCCAAACTCATTGATTGTTCTTCGGGTTTTGATGGCAGCCTTTAGCATTTGTTTCTATTAGGCCTTCCGACGGCCCGAGACGGCCCAAGAGCTCCCCAGAACGGCCCAAGAGGCCCACAAGACGGCACCTAAGAGGGGCCCAAGACGGCCCAACAGGCCTCCAAGACGCCCAAGATCAAGATGGCCTCCAAGACGGCCCTGGAGCACCCCAAGAGGGCCCCAAGCCGCTTCAGAGAGACCCACAAGACGGCTTCCGACGGCGTCAGACGGGTCGGGAACGCCCTGAAATAGACAAAGAGGCCACCAAGAAGCCCCCAAGAAACCCCCAAGATGCCTCCAAGAGGCCCCCAGGAAGCTCTCAGGAGCCCCAAGACTGCCCCCAGAGGCTCCCAAGATGCCCCCTCCTCCTCCTCCTCCTTCTCCTTCTCCTCCTGACCCCCGAAAGGTTTCCAGAACGGGCGGGGAAACACATGGTCCGATAGCTTGGCAGAGCTTTGGCCACAACGTTCGGCCACATTGGCGGTTCCGAAAGGCAGGGGGCGGCGGTGATTCGCCGTAGACGTCTTCGGAATCTGTTCCCTGCACAATTTGTCTCTAAAGGTTCTACATGAGAAAACATTTGTACCCAAAATCGGTGGCTCTTGGTCTCCTGTGTGGTCTTCCGTGTGGTCACCCATTTGGTCGTCTCCGCTCTGGTCTCCGATTGGTGTTTCGTCTCTCCTGTATGGTGTCTCCCATATGGTGTCTCCCGTATGGTGTCTCCCGTTTGGTGTCTCCTGTATGGTGTCTTCCGTATGGTGTCTCCCGCATGGTGTCTCCCGTACGGTGTTTCCTGTATGGTGTCTCCCGTATGGTGTCTCCCGTATGGAGTCTCCTGTATGATGTCTCCTGTTTGGTGTCTTATGTATGGTGTCTCCCGTATGGTGTCTCCCGTCTGGTGTTTCCCATATGGTGTCTCTCGCGCACAGTATAGTAGAATGGTCACTGTACTATTCATTATGTTGCTTGGGGTCTGTTGTCAAGGCTACAGCTCCTTGGTCGTGGCAGCTCTCGCCCGGGTATCGTTTCTGGATGGGTTGTTGGGGATACGTTGTTGACCGCGACCGCGGCGAGAGAGGTCGGGCGGCGTCCAGGAGCGACGCGCACGGGCAACTGCCAAAGTTCGCGCACAGGGAGAAGGAGGGGCGAAAGAGACACAAGACCATGCAAGAGGGCTGTTGGGGACACTTTTTTGTTTGGTCGCGGGCGGACGTGGATTCGCAGTCGCCGGGCTGAGAGGTCGGGGCCACGGGCCTGTCAAATTAGCTACGCGCAAGCCTAAGAGCAGCTGTTGGGGACACTTTGTTGATTCGCGGCCCGCAATGAAAAATCCAGAGGGCGGTGTGAACGAGGCTGGGACACAGCGCACGGGAATGCAGATAATGAACGGCGCAGCACAAGTGCCGGCCAAGAAGAAGCAGCTGAGCATGTGCCAGCAGCAGAAAATTAACAACGCTGAACATGTGCCAGCGAGGGATGCAAATAGGAAGAACCAGCCGCTGGGCGTGTGCCAGCGAGGGTGGGGAGGGCGGAAGGTCGGACCCGCAGGTGGGGCCAGACTGCCAGGCGGAAGGTGCCAAAACCACTCACTCACTTGGAACGTCGGCCAGACTGTACACCGCCGAGGGGAGTTCAGGCCAAAGCCTGGAGAGGGCCGACCACAAAGGAGAGCGCCCGCGATGGCCCCTGGTACCAAGGCGGTGTGCGGCTTGCGCATCTCGAAGGCACTCCTGTGACTGTAGCCGACGTCTAACACAAGCGCCAGAACGGTACCTGACCGGCGACCTTGTCCGCCAATGCCGACAAGCGGCCGACCGTACTGTCACCACGCCCATGTGCAAGGGGGGTCAGGAGCCGCCGTCCCAACGGGCGACGAAGTGGAAGCCACTGCATGTTGCCGACTCCAAAGAGTGGGCACCCGAAATGGGTTGTTGGGGACATTTTTTTTTACAGCCGCAGGCGGAGGCGCCAGCGGCGGGAGGTCGCGGGCGGGCTACGGCCGCGACTAAATTGCCGAGCGCGCGCGGGGGCCGCGGATCAGGCGGCGGGGGGGGGCAGCGCCAGGGCGGCAGAGCCAACGTGCAATCCAGGGAGTCTGCAGAACAGCCCCTGAACGAGACATGCAACGGTGCATCCAGGGAGTCTGAAGACAGGCACCGAGGAGACCAAGCGCAGCCAAAATGGCGCGTGAGGCGTTCCCAGTTCAGATGCGAACAGAAAGGAACGTTCCCGAGGACGTCGATCCAGGGAGTCTGACGGGTAACACAGACTGACTGGAGACATAAGTCCAGCGGAAAAGCCTGACGGCGAATCAAAGTCGCGACGCTAGAACGCGCATCCAGAGTGTGGAAACATGATGACAGGAGAACCTTCCACACCTGAGATGCGTCAGCCCAGATCCATCGAGTGGAAGGGCGCCGTAGTGTGCACGATACACGGTGGACCACGTGGCGCGTGCACACTGTTGGGGACACGCGAAGCGTCAAGAATTCGAAGCTCGAGCGAGATTGATGATGATTACAGCCCCGTAGGGCGGCTGGAAAACACGCCTTGCACATCTCAATCCTAGCCTACGGCATGCCTTGTCATTTACAGACTACTGGCAGCACCGTCAAGCTCAGCAGGCCCAGATCCACGGGCCAGCCCCTAGCGGACATCCCAGGGGCTAGACCCAGACCCAGGAGCCCCCGTGACTGATGTGTGCGGGGTCTCACTGATGTCGTGACTCACCTCGTCGCCGTGGACCATCCCATGACTCGGCGAGTATTCATCATGCGAGACCGACCATGAAGGATTTGAGAACTTATCGGCGTAGGTCTGGAAAACTATCAGAGACGTGCACGTGGACACGGCCATGACGTCCTGGGAGATCGCGATGGAGGCGTCCTGGAAGGCCACGCCGGTCGTCATTGTCGCCAGCAGCTGGACATTCCTGGCTCCCGGCACTCCGGTCGGGTTGCCCCACCGCTGGAGCACGCCGACCTGGCTGCCAACGTACACGTCGCCCGCCGCATCGATGGTCGGCAGAGACCAGCTGTTGGGGCTGCAGGTGGCGCGGCCGCCCATGGCGCGGCGAATGTCGGCACCCTCCCGGTCGCCGGCACACGTGCTCGTCCACAGCGTCGGCCCGTCCCTAATCCACCGGATGTCGCCGTTGTGTGGGTCGAGAGCCCAGATTTCCGGCGGCGAGCTGGGGGGGAAGGTGAGAAGGAGAAGGCCTTCTCGGAAGGCTCGGAAGTCCCCCGGCCTTCCGAGAAGTCTTCTGCGCCGTCCCCGGAGACACAGAACACTTCTCAGAAAGCGCGAGGGCTTCCGAATTAGTTCCCCCGCCTTCTGAGTGGGCCTTCTCGTTCTCACTTCCCCCCCTCGCTCGCCGCCGAGATTTGGGAGGGAGAGTTGAACCTGCAGTTGAAGCCCATGGTGAGCACCAGGCGAGTGTGCTCGGGCGAGTTGAGCGCGCCCGCGGTGGCGCCAGCGGGCGGCTCGGGCGTGTCCCGGTGCCAGATCGCCCTGCCCGAGGAAGCGTTGTAGCCACGGATGAAGCCCCTGCCGCCTGGGCGACGATCAGAAACGGGTCTTGCGCGAGATGGCATCGCGACCTCGCCGCGGCTTACGCGGGCCGCCCGCGCGGCACGCCACATTGGAGACGAGGGCGTCAACGCACGATCTGGCGCGGGCAGCTCACGCGCCAATGTCAGCGCAGACGACCCCGTGTGTTTGCGTCGCTCACCTGGCCACGTCCAGCAATTGATCAGGATGCCAGGTGCTACGTACGGATTGCAAAACTTGCCGCCGTCCGTGCCGATGGCGTCGGTCATCCTGTAGGTCTCCACGTTGTAGTGCTGCATGCCGAGGGCGAACGCCACGTTGTGGCCCGGGTCGTAGGTGGCTGCTGCCTGGGTGTGCGTCCCGAGGTCGCCCCCGACCTTGAAGACGAGGGCGCCGGTGAGGAGGTCCAGAGAGTACAGCCTTCGAGTACGCCGCCGAGGAGGAGGAGGAGAAGGATGAGGAGGAGGAGGAGGAGGAGGAGGAGGAAGAGGAGCGAAGAAGGGGGCTGACGCATCCTGGCCCGAGGCATGTGCGCGAACGAGGGGGGGAGTCTTGTAACAAGAACGAGGGGGCGACATCCGCGAGGTCTGATTGACCCCACTGTGATATCCATACGCAAAAACACATACACTTTTGGTCTGCGGGTCGAGAGCGAGCCTCTTCCGATTAAGAGTAGGCGGGGCGCGCAAAGCACTTATTGGGGAGATAGAGCGCAAAGACACATACACACAGGTACAGACACACACACACACACACACCACACACGCACACACGCACGCACACACATCCACACGTACGCACGCACGCACGCACGCACGCACGCACGCACGCACATCCACACGCACGCACGCACGCACGCACGCACGCACGCACGCACGCACGCACGCACGCACGCACGCACGCACGCACGCACACACACACACACACATGTTTACGTCGGCGGCTAGGCAGAGCAACTGCGCCGGCGATGGGGCGTGAGCGAGATATGCACAGAGCGCGAGGTGTGCCGCCATGCACGTGGGCGAGAGGAGGACGCCCTGCGCGGGACACACACACACACACAAACGCACACCTAGTCTTATGTCGTTCCCACCGTACCAAAGGATCGCATCCCAGAAATACTTTCGAGCACCCAGGACAGCATCGAAACAGTGTCCACCCGACACGAAGGCGAAGTGTCGAACGAGCATCGCCTCCCAGGTCCCAAAAAGTGGAAACCCTCCAGTCTCGGTACTTTCTTGGCGCTCGAAAGTCTTTCTGGTGGTCAAGGCTTAAGTAGGTTGGAACATCATAAACCTAGTCCTCACCCCCCTTTTGGACGCCACTGCAACCTGCCCTCCCAGTCCTGGAACATCACGGTGCCGTCTGGGCCCCAGAGCGGGACCATGTTCCACACCGGCGCAAAGGTTCTGTACTGCCAGACAGCGGATCCGTCCACTGCGCTCAGGCCGCGCACCATGGAGTTGCCTGGCGTGAGGGGGTTAGTCTGGTTGCGGTATCTGTAGCAGTACCGGTCAGTGCACTTGTCCGTCGCGACCACTATGATTCCGTCCTTGCCGGCAACGGCGCCCTTGACGCCCGCGATATCGTTCGATGCCCACGTTACCCACAACTCCTCTCCGCTTGCGAGGTCGATCGAGAACACGAAGCCGGAGGTGGTGCTCCCTACCAGCATGGCGGGCCACGCGACGGTCTTTGTCTCCATCTCCTGCTGCACGCGCAGAAAGCGGTCCCCCATGGCGTGAAACTTCACCACGCTCTTGGTCCCAGTGCGCGCCCACGTGATGACGGCCCTTCTCTCCTTCTCACCGTCCTCGACGCCGGTGATCGTCCCCAGGTCACCAGCCTTTCGGCGGCACGCAAGAGTGACCCTGGGCAAGAGTGACCTTCAGTGCGCGGACTGAGGGGGCGCAAGGTGGCCAAATCCAAGGGCGCAAGCAGCCACTCTCACATCGCGCTCAGCGGTCCGGGGGACCCCGGTGAGCCCGCACCAAAGGTCACTCCGGCGAAGGGGAACTCTTACGTGTCGTCGAGCCTTGTAGAGATCCCTGCCGTCCGCCCGGTAACTGAAGCCGGGCTTCACCTTGACGAGGTCGCCGGCCTTGAATTGGTTGAAGGCTGCGGATCGCACTGACCCGTTGGCTTTCGCCCAGTCCGGTCGCAGCATGTCTTCTGCCTCGGCCTCCTCGGCAGATGTCACAGGGGCCTGCAGGCGCCTGCTGCTGGCGAGGACCAGGGTGGGTGCCGCGGCGAGCTGGCCACGGGGGGCGTAGCTCCACAGGAGGGTGCCGGTGACGTCGAACTTGCGGATGGCGTCGTCCGATCCGATGTAGATGTTCTGCTCGTCGTCGAAGAGTGGACTGCCGACGGGGATGGTGTTGTACACGCCAGTCGGGTGGTGCCAGCCCCAGGAGAGGTTCTCCAAGAGGTCCGTCGCGCCAGAATATGTTCCGCCCTCGCGATTGGCTGAGTCGGCCCAGAAGAACTTGCCGTCCTTCCTGCTGGTCTTGGTCTTCTTGTGGGCGTGCCGCTGGTACCGGGTGACACCCATCTTGTTCATCTTGCCCAAGGCGGCCTTGTTATCCTGACCACCCTCAAGCGTACTGAATCGTGTGGTTCGTGCTGTCGTCGCAGTACGGGCCGCCCTTCCCGAACTTGCCTCCAGCCGCTCGGTCGCACTGGCGAAGCGTGCGCTGGCGAAGCGCTCCGTTCGTGCTGCCTTTTCCGAGCCTGCCTCCAGCCTCTCGGCCGCACTGGCGATCCGCTCTGCTCTTGCTGCCTTCTCGGACCCTGCCTCGAGCTTCTCGGCCGCACTGCCGAAACGCTCTGCTCGTGCTGCCTTCGCAGATCCTGCCTCGAGCTTCTCGGCCGCACTGTCGACACGTGCTGCTCTTGCTGCCTTCCCCGATCCTGCCTCAAGCTTCTCGGCTGCACTGTCGACACGTTCTGCTTTTGCTGCCCTCTCCGAGACTGTCTCAAGCCTCTCGGCCGCGCTGCCGTACCTCTGGACAACGCCGATCGCGAGGGTCGGAAGCAGCTGCAGTATGACCAGAAGGTGGACACCGATAGAGATCATTGCCAGCGGCAAGCTGCAAGGTCGAGTGAATGGATACCGTAAGATTAAGAAGTTTGCAACAGGTGCGCCCACAGATTGGGCTCGAAAGAGATCTGCTGCTACTGATGATGATGTTGATGATGATGATGAGTGCTGGAAAAAGATCAGCTGCTGCTGATGATGTTGTTGTTGATGCTGCTGATGATGAGGAGGAGGAAGAGGAGGTGTAGGAGGAGGAGGAGGAGGAGGACGAGGAGGAGGAGGGAGAGGAGGAGAAATGGGAGGCTCAGCAGAAGGGGAAGGATGGGAAAGACGCCCCGAAGATGGCAGCCGAGGCCGTCCAGGCAGCGGGAGGGACTCCCACAAGATGCCCTCCAAACGCGCCAGGGGGTAACTATCCAAAGCCACGAGGCCGCGATGCCGCGACCGGTGCCGCCGCCGGGCACCGGGTGGAGTGCCCCCGGGTGCTCCGAGAAGGAACGGGCCCGAGAACGAGACCCTCCTGAACTCGGAGTGGCTCTTGCTGCAATCTTGACTATACTCTGCAATGTGGGATGACGATGAATAAAACTATCCTGGCGAAGGGCCCAACCATATGCAATTGTGAATAACGCTTTGCGGGTGCCGCTTTCGGTGGGGCTCCTTATGGGGCCACGAAAGGCGTGCCACGAAACGCTGTCCTGGGCGTACGGGACGCATGAGGGCGGTAGCACTGGGGCCTTCGGTGGAGCTCCCTATGGGGCCACGAAACGTGTGAGGGGTGTGCCGAAATGGGTGCGGCGCCGCCATGCCAACGCAGCCTCTGGGGCCTTCGGTGGAGCTCCCTATGGGGCCACGAAGCGTGTGAGGGGTGTGCCGAAATGGGTGCGGCGCCGCCATGCCAAAGCAGCCACTGGGGCCTTCGGTGGAGCTCCCTATGGGGCCACGAAACGTGTGAGGGGTGTGCCGGAATGGGTGCGGCGCCGCCATGCGAACGCAGCCACTGGGGCCTTCGGTGGAGCTCCCTATGGGGCCACGAAACGTGTGAGGGGTGTGCCGAAATGGGTGCGGCGGGCGCATGCGGACGCAGCCACTGGGGCCTTCGGTGGAGCTCCCTATGGGGCCACGAAACGTGTGAGGGGTGTGCCGACATGGGTGCGGCGCCGCCATGCGAACGCAGCCACTGGGGCCTTCGGTGGAGCTCCCTATGGGCCGACGAAACCGTGAGGGGTGTGCCGAAATGGGTGCGGCGCGCCATGCGAACGCAGCCACTGGGGCCTTCGGTGGAGCTCCCTATGGGGCCACGAAACGTGTGAGGGGTGTGCCGAATGGTGCGGCGCCGCCATGCGAACGCGAGCAGCCACTGGGGCCTTCGGTGGAGCTCCCTATGGGGCCACGAAACGTGTGAGGGGTGTGCCGAAATGGGTGCGGCGCCGCCATGCGCACGCAGCCACTGGGGCCTTCGGTGGAGCTCCCTATGGGGCCACGAAACGTGTGAGGGGTGTGCCGAAATGGGTGCGGCGCCGCCATGCGGACGCAGCCACTGGGGCCTTCGGTGGAGCTCCCTATGGGGCCACGAAACGTGTGAGGGGTGTGCCGAAATGGGTGTGCGGCGCCGCCATGCGGACGCAGCCATGGGGCCTTCGGTGGAGCTCCCTATGGGGCCACGAAGCGTGTGAGGGGTGTGCCGAAATGGGTGCGGCGCCGCCATGTGGACGCGGCCACTGGGGCCTTCGGTGGAGCTCCCTATGGGGCCACGAAACGTGTGAGGGGTGTGCCGAAATGGGTGCGGCGCCGCCATGCGGACGCAGCCACTGGGGCCTTCGGTGGAGCTCCCTATGGGGCCACGAAACGTGTGAGGGGTGTGCCGAAATGGGTGCGGCGCCGCCATGTGGACGCAGGCCACTGGGGCCTTCGGTGGAGCTCCCTATGGGGCCACGAAACGTGTGAGGGGTGTGCCGAAATGGGTGGTGGCCGCATGCGGACGCGCCACTGGGGCCTTCGGTGGAGCTCCCTATGGGGCCACGAAACGTGTGAGGGGTGTGCCGAAATGGGTGCGGCGCCGCCATGCGAACGCGGCCACTGGGGCCTTCGGTGGAGCTCCCTATGGGGCCACGAAACGTGTGAGGGGTGTGCCGAAATGGTGCGGCGCCGCCATGCGGAGGCCACTGGGGCCTTCGGTGGAGCTCCCTATGGGGCCACGAAACGTGTGAGGGGTGTGCCGAAATGGGCGCGGCGCCGCCATGTGGACGCGGCCACCGGGGCCTTCGGTGGAGCTCCCTATGGGGCCACGAAACGTGTGAGGGGTGTGCCGAAATGGGTGCGGCGCCGCCATGTGGACGCGGCCACTGGGGCCTTCGGTGGAGCTCCCGATGGGGCCACGAAGCGTGTGAGGGGTGGGAGGAGGGAGGAGGGAGGAGGCGGAGGGCGAGGAAGGAAGGAGAGGAGAGGAGACGCGGGGCACCGTCTCTTCAAAACGAGGACCCAACACCACAGGATGGTTGGGAAAAATGGGAGAGAACGATTCAAAAACAATAGTTTTCTGCTACTTCTGCACAACTTGCTGACTGGGGGGGAACGATTTAAAACATAGTTTTCCAGCCCGCGGCCGTTTTTTTCTAATCGTCATCCCGGGCACCGCCGCGTGAACACGACCCCCGGTCATTTATTAATCGCCATCCTCCATTACGTAAGGGGCCCGGGGGTAGCGAGGTTCAGGATTCGATGCTTCCAACGTTGCTTAGGATGGTCTCGTCCTGGAGCCCTCTTGGGCGCAGCTTGAGCTGTCTCTTGGAGGCCCTGGGGGCGGGCCTGAGTCCTCAGTCGCACGCATCATCATCGAAAGCATGCAGTGTCCGCGTAACTTTAGCATGCCCCGCCTCTCAATCTCAAGAGCGCCCAAGACGCTCCGACCCGCCCTCACGAACGCACCAAGACAGCCCCCCAGAGGCTCCCAATGCTAAGCGTCTCGGCTGCAGAAGGGAGGAGGGAGGAGGGAGGAGGGAGGAGGAGGAGGGAGGAGGGAGGGGGAGGAGGAGGAGGAGGAGGAGGAGGAGGAGGAGGAGGAGGAGGAGGAGGAGGAGGAGGCGCAAGAGGGCCCCCAATGATGGCTGGACCGCCACGTCAGGACCGGCAGGGCTCCCCCGGCCACGGCGGGCCTCGGCCACGCAGGGGCTCCCGCCTCCGAAGGCCGAGGAGCGGCTCGAGAGCTCCAGAGCCGCTCCTGAACCCGAAGCGGTCCCAGACATCAGGGGGCAAACAAACCTACCTCGCGTTTGACCACCCTCGCTTCCAAGAGATACCAAGCGATGCCAAACTACGGCCTGTGCTGGTCAGGCCGCTTGACGAAGAGGCGCGTGGTATGGCTTGGTTTTGCCTGGAAGCGAAAGCGGGGTAGGTAATTCACGCTCTGAGACATGCGACGTCCCGATTTGTTCAGGACGGCGAGGCGCAGCCGCTCGAAGACATCCCGAGGCCGTCAACAAAATCGTCCCAAGACTACTCTTTGACTACTCCTGAAAGCTCCCCCTGCGGAGGGACAGGCCCGACTTAGCCCTGCGCCCTGCCGGTGCAGTCGAGGAGGGCGCTCGGCCGAGGCTCGCGAGGCGGAGCGGCGCTTTTTCCCCGGCGCCGCCCGCGCGCTGCAGAAAAGAAGGCGAAGCGACACAGACAAAACCTTTCGGAGGTCCTGACCAGCCTCGAGCTTCTTCCCGTTCCTCCTCCTCCTCCTCCTCCTCCTCCTCCTCCCTGGTGCGCCCTCAGAACGGGATAGGGATACTGGGATACTCTTCGGGGGCGCGCAAACATGGATTAGCGATCCATGGATTTGGCGCGCGGTCGCCACATCCATGGATCGGGGGAGGCGCCCTCCCCAAAATGCGGCCGGTGCCGCCTCGCTCGGCGGCGGAAATCTGGATTCCCCGTGGAAACGGGACCCATCGCTAATCCACGCCCCCTTGATCCATGTTTGCGATCGCCTGAACTTTTTACCAGCCTTGAACTTATCCCTATCCCTATGTTGGGCATCGCCCCATCACGATGGCGATCTTAGGGATGTCCTCAGTTTCTGAGGGTGTATCCCTAAGATTGTCATCTTCTTTTAGCGTGTCAATCTTATAAGGGATAGGGATAAGTTCGAGGCTTGTGAAACTGTTCAGACTGGTACAGTCCACGCGGTTCTCTCTGGGCGGCGCTGGAGCCCCCCGGGCGACGCCTCCAGCGCCCCTCTGGCGCCGCCCCGGCGCGCTTACCCCGCACCGGCAGGGCGGCCCAGCGCCGATGCAGGAAAAATCCGCGCGGCCCTCCGGAAGTCTCTGCCGATGCCGGCTGCGCTTCTGAAAACTGGGGTGCTCGAGGCGCCAAAAAGATCGGCCAGAAAAGCACCGCGCAGACGCGCGGCAAGCAATACACAGTGGCCCGCGACCAAATTGCATGGCGACTCCTGTCGGCCAGAGCGTGTGCGCAAGGGGGAGGCTCCTCCTCCTCCTCCTCCACCTCCTCCTCCTCCTCATCATCATCAGCATCATCATCATCATCATCATCCACTCCTGGAAGAAATGAATCTGGCGCGACCGCAATTAGGAGAAATCTGCATATTGCATCGGCGCTTGGCGTGGTATTGCTTGGCATATTGCTTGACCGATGGCTGGGCATGTTGCTTGGCATTGCGTGGCATTGCGTGCATTGCATGGCATGTCATGGTATTGCTTGGCATTGTTTGGTGTTGCGCGGCATTGATGTGCATTGCTTCGCATTGCTTTGCGATGTTTGGCATTATTGGCAATGCGTGGCGAGGCAGCAGGGAGCCCAAACCACAGAACCAAACAACCAGGACGAAGGAACCAACGAGCCACGGCACCACCAAGACCAAGGAACCAAGGAACCAAAACCAAGGAACCTAGGAACCAAGACCAAGGAACCAAGGAACCAAAACCAAGGAACCTAGGAACCAAGATTAAGGAACCAAGGAACCAAGACAAAGGAACCAAGGAACCAGGACCAGGGAACCAAGGAACCAGGACCAAGGAACCAAGGAACCAAGG